TTTCGTGTTCAAGAAACTTCTTGACGCTTGCTAATCATGTCTCTTCAGCTGCAACATCTGTCTCAATGAAAGATTTGGGAAGGATTGACTTCAAGTAGACAATTCCTATTCAAGGTCTGTTTTTTTAAAAAATAGACACTGGCATTCTTGGTCAAGAAGGCAAGAACAGACTTCTAAGTTCTTCTGTTCAGGCTCTGATACATAAAGCACCTAATCATTACAAACCTTTTTATTTCTTGGGGGATTAACTTAGCAGCAGCTGGCACGCTAATCATATTAAAATAAGTCTGGAAAGAGAGAAAAAGCTTGCCAATGGGGGGGATGAGAAACACTATTCCCTCCCTTCAATGCAGCTACTGACATTGCCTTTATAAGGAGCTTTTCCCAAAATTATTGAATGAAGCAGTTTTTACATCAAGAATTTTAATTTTTCTACCTAACTAAAAATGGACATATTTGGTAACTGAGCTACCTATATATTTATGTATATAAACATGGATATGTTTAGCTAATTAAAAAGGAACCATTGAAGGCTCATGCAATGGAAAGGGGAGGTGGGAACTGAGACAAATTATTTTAGATACAAGTTACTACACTTAAAAGAAAATATAAGCAGCCCAACTCACCCTTCTCATCTACCAACAGACCATCCCATTTGTCACCTTTAACACCTTCAAACCAAAATGTACATGCCTTTGTTTTTTAAATGGAAATTTCTGGGAGCTGGATTTAGTTTAAACCTAGTCTTCCCCATACGTGCCCTTATTCCGCCTTACACAAAGCCCAGCTTTAAATCTAAATTTTTGTCCCCAGACAAGGGCCTGAAGGAAGAAAAGATGCAAACACCTCACTTCTGTCCTCTGGGTTTGCCCCTATTAAGATTCAGAATCTCATGATTGGGCATCCCTTTTTAATGTGTATAGTTTGGGCTGGGAATGACAGAGCAAATCAGTTCTCTGCTTTCCAGATGAGTATGTTTCTATATATTGGCATGTGAAGCAATTTCCCCCCTCTGCAAACGAAGGCAAACATGATCACGTCAGTGCTAGACAGGTGTGCATTTAAAGCTTTCGTGCAGAAACAGCAGGAAGAGTGAAACCACCTCCTTCACCTCTCCCTGCTTATCACCCGGATGTCACAACACAGATGCTGTACATAAGAAACTCTTTGGGGATATGAGTGCCCAGCTATATTTGCTTATCCATGATGAAAGAGCCAAACCTCATTCAATTGCCTTATTACAGATTTGATACACAGAGCAAAGCAAAGAGCATGATATACAACACAGTTATCCGTCTACCTGAGGCTTCAGCTTGGCAGGATTAGAAAGACATCAAGAGTGCACAAGCTGGAATTCCTCTGAACACAGCTTCCGCCTCTGTTTACTCAGCCTGTCATTAGTTTCTGTTACCTGTTATTCCCAAAGGCTGTTTTCCACGCTTTCCCCTACTACCACCTTCTACTTCACCCTGACTCCCAGTTAGTAGGAAAACCACATCTCCTTGGTGTAACCCAATTTATCCAGGTTGGGAATGCAGGCATATTGAATCATGGGAGGTGGGCCACACATCAGAATGAGAACATCATCTTGTGGTGGAGGCATATGTTCCTTGATCATGTCTTGGTTTACGAATCCTTGGCTGTAATCCCATTCTGTGTTGGAAAAGACCACATTTCTCTAATTATCTCTTTAAAAAAAGCACTGAGATACATATTATATCAGCTATAGCAACAGAACCTTGCAATTCTGAATGTGCTTCCCACCTCCCTCACTTTCTCTTTGTATGGACTAGGGGAGAGCCTCTTCAGTTCCAGAAGAAGGCACTACCAACCAACTCTTGAAGAGTTGCCAAGAAAACAATGTGGAGGTTTCTGTGGGTCATCAGAAGGAGAGCTTGAATTGAGGAAGTCAAGCTCTTTTGACTACAGTAGGTTACAACACCAAACAGATGTGGGTTAGATTCAAAAAGCTAACCGGGGTCAATACTGGTTAATACGTGGATGGGAAAATCCTAGAGCTGTAAGCTAGACTGGTGAGGCAGAAAAACCTCAGAAGGCAGTGGAAAACCATTTCTGTATTTTATTTTATTTTATTTTAATTTAATTTAATTTAATTCTCTCTCTCTCTCATCAAATTGAGATACTGTCCATCTCATGAAAAAGTGACTCTGGGCGGTTCACAGTATTGTTCTCAAAAAAAACCACATGGCCACCAGGAGCTGGGTGTGACTCCAAGAAAATTTTACACTGCTCTGTCCATATTCAGCAATTAAGCTTAGAACATTTTTAGTATCTTCTAACTTAATTGTATCATGGACTAAACTACTTACTTTCAGGAGCTCTGTCCAATGTGTACCACAGCTTAAACTGAGCTGAGTGTTGAGCTTGTACTTCCTCAAGTTCTGGGCGCAGTAAGATATCATTTTCAGTCTGTCCCAGAAACACAATGCTGATGTTTTATCTCATATATTCATTATTAAACAACTTATACTATTGATTCCCTTTTAATCCCTTACAAAAAAATCATGAGCCCAAAGCTAAAATGAAAGACCCTGAAATCAAAATTTAAACAATCGAGAATTAAAAGCTTGTTTTTAAAAGCTGATAGCAGAGAGTGCATTTCAGAAAACCAGGGTTCCCAGTATGCCTTCCAGTAACCCGCACCCAAACCCATACAGGACTTTGGACTTGGTTATCTTTAAGACCACCTATTCCAATATGCAAACAGAAAAGGTATACTGAGAATCCCTTACTATGGGAGATGCAACAGGAGGGGGACCAACAATAAGCACTGTCTGTGGCACCCCCTATTTTTGAAGAGCTTGCTTTCAGAGGCAAGATTGGCCCCTTTCCATTATGATATTCAACAAACTTGTGAAGACCTGGCTGCTTCAAGGAACTCTGAGGGACTGAAAGGATTAAGTGAGCTTGTCCTGGCTGTCAGCTGGCACTATAGGTAATAAGTACTTATGGTATGTTATTGGTATACCGATTCTGTTGATTGCATTTTGGCTTTTGTAAACAGCTTAGTCGTTCAGACTGAAGTGACATAAAGGTCACAATAATAAATAATACAGAAATGGGAAACTTGCAGGAAATGACAAGACAGAGAATTGTATTCCCACCTCGCTTATCATGATGGCCATGATGGATAATTTAGTATTAATCTGGCTTTGAGTGCAACTCTAAAACACACATAATTTGGCTCACCTGACTGTGGGACTATCCATTTCAAGAGTGTCAATAACCAAGCAACGTTGAAACTGTTTACATGGGTGTGTGTATTAGATTTGATAAGATCTTGAGTTGAACTGATTTGGAAAAATCTGGGGGATGTCCAAATACAATAAGGACTCGTTTAAAGTGGGCTGAGACCAATGTTAACTATTCCCAAAGCTTCATTACCAATATATTCATTGTATTCTATAAATAGTTTATATCATTTTGCACAGCCTGGAAGCTTGAATTGTGCTCAACAGCAATTTCTGAAATCGCACCTCTTGCTGTAAGAAACACTTAATGCTTTCATCTTACAACAAAACAAAGACTAAACCATGATCGAAAAAACACTGTTTTTAGTTTATCACATTATTGCTTGAGACAGGGTGAATCCATGTTATACTGGAAGGTTGGAAAAATGTTGGAGGTCACCTGAATGACTGGCCAATTTTCAATAGTTTTGCTAGCCAACTATTAAGTTTCTTGTTATTTATTTTTTCATTTATGTCCTGTCTTTTTTCAAGGAATTTTAGGAAGCCCCTTAAGGTTACCCCTGATTCTTCCCCATAAGGAAGAGGAAGCTCACCCTCCACCTGATCCAAGAAGAAACATCTTACATTATTAAGCAAGAATACATCTATAAATCATGGCACAGATTAACTGTGCCCTAGTAACTGAATATTTTATTCCACTTTTTAAGCAATGGAAATCCTAGAGGGAAAGAAAAGAATTACCAGACCACTCCAGAGTTAAGCTAGCCCATCCTCTCTTACGTGTTTCATTATAATCATGATTCCCCATAAACAGAAGTCTACAAGGACAGTTTTTAATCCTTCCATCAAAGGCTTTGGAAGAAGCAGTATTACCGTATGAAAAATGACTTGGCATGAAAAAGAGGATTATATTTAGGGGCACTGGCATGAAAAACGGCACTTATTTGGACCTGTTATTTGGGGTACCTATTTCTGGAGTAGCATCTGCTACAAGAAAGTTATTCTGGGCTGGCATTCTCTTAAGTCAGATGCCAGTAAATAATGCAAAATAATACTGACAAATATGTCTGGAAAAAAAAAGCAGTTGGTGGCACCAAGGTTTTAAAGTTAAAGCAAGTTGCTCTGGAACAAATTTCTTTCCAAGATTATTATGTTGGTCCCAAGATGGAATGATTAAAAAAGATGATTTAGCAAAAAAGTAACTGCTAGCAGTCTACTCAAAAATAAGTCCTGTTAAATGTGAATAAATGGTTAGGTGTAAACTATTATCAAAATTCAGGGTAATTACACTTCATTCAAAAGTATTTGTACTAAGCTGTTAATCAATACCCCAAGGTGTTCTGGAGATAGTCCACTACTAAAACAGGCCTATTTCATGCAGAAGAGTATATCTAGAACACTTTGAACCATTTCTGATTCAGAAGGATTTACAACTGTCAAACCAACCCCAGGGAATAACATGATTTGAGAGGAGTTCTGGTCTGAGGTAGAGGGAAACCGATTGTTCCAGAGTTGCTCTGTTCCTACATTGACAAAGTCTGCACTAGAAGCAATTAACTTCAGCTTTTTCTCATTATTCCCTCAAAAAAGATGACAGAATCCAGAAAGAAGCAGGAATATTACAACTGTTGCTGAGATAGAATCCTCTGGAGGGGCTAGTCACTCGCTTAGAGCAATTGGTAAGAAATGAGTAAGGCTACAATTTCATGTACACTTCTCTGGGAATAGAGAAGCGGAGAATTTCACTAGGGGCCAGTGAAAATGGTGGAATATGTATCTTGAGTAAATCTGCATAAGACTAGAATATTGACAATGAATATTTGTAGCATTAATCATCATCCCCCTATTTTATTTATTCTCCGCAAAACACTGCTATTTGCCCAATATGCTCTTCACTCCTTAGTAAAATTAAGAAAATCATCTTACCTGGTTAGCAAAGAGTAAATGGCAAACTGTGGGGTCATCCTTGTCCTTTACAATTGCTCGAATGAGCTGTAACATTGGAGTAATTCCTTCAGGGAACAGAGAGAGCCATGGTCAAATGCATCCTCATCAAGATCACAAAGAAAACCGACATAGAAAACACATTTTTGGAGTACCTGTTCCACCTGCAATCATCCCAACGTATTTCACATGTTTAATAATGGGTTCAGATTTCTTGTCTGGGCGAATAGCAAACACACCTGTCAGAAGAGAAGTGGAGCAAGTGGATTGTAACTGGCGGTGTGCAAAATGTCTCAAATCCAAGACAGCCTGCTCTGAGTGCACAATGATCTGAACTTGAAATCTTTTGCCCACTCCTAATCATAATGATGAATACTTTCCAAAAATCTAGAAAAATGTGACACTGGGGAAGAGACAGAATATAACCTGTATTGCTCTACAGGATAAAACAGAGATGAAGGCAACCTTCTCCAACTTGACATCCATCTTCCAGATGTGTTGAACTGTAGCTTCTAAGACATTCAATCACTTTGTTATAAACTGAAAAGACATGTCAGGGAAGGGGTGTGCACAACATGACTGTAGCACATTCCCTTAATACGCCAAGCCATAATGAGATCTGTATGCTTATTAACATGCTAACCCGGTCACTGTGGTTTATAAACCAAGATTTATGGCTTAATGGGTTGTGAGAGTCCAGCCAACTGTGGCTTATTCAGCAAACCCTAGCTATGCAAACCATGGCTTATAGGGATGTTCAGAACCAGCTTTGAGTATATTGTGTGAATGTGGCAGGAGTTCCTGCAGTATGCTGAGCTGATTTAGGAATCATTGTTTTGGGCTCTTAATCCCAGTTCTGGATGAGATTCAGCTCAATTCAAGATCTGGAATGCTCGTCAAGTTTGTTTTCTAGAAGAGGAAGGACTATTTATTTTAATGGAGAAGACACCCTCAGAATCTATACTTTTTTGTAGCTCACCAGGTTATATGGCATCTAGCACTGAATCAAAATACAGTCTTGATCTTACTTCTTGCACGCCCTATTTCAGTTGTATAGATCCCAGAGACAGCCCATCCCAGGTAAAGCTGCCCACAACTCTACATAAAACTGGGACCCTTTCAAAAAAACCCTCCTCTTTTTTTGAACTTTCATTCAACCATTTATTTCAGATCCATCTAAAGTAGCCAAACTATCCAGAGTCCTGATAAAAGTTACCAAATTTAATAATAGTTTAACTACTAACACAAAGTATCCATTTTGGGGGGAATAAATGTTTGTTGTTCCAATGTAACTGAGACACTTTGCTTCTTACACTTCAGTTCTTACAATTACATGTTGTTCATAAAAATGAGCCTCACCTTTTCCCTTATAAACAAGCAATCCACTAGGTCCACGAAACTCAATGGTGTCCCCCATCTTTAGGTTCTCTAGGTACTGGGACATTTTCCCTCCTTCTGGAAATTTGGGGTGAACTCCTTTGAAATAGATCTATAAGGGGGAAAAATACTTTTAAAACTGAATGCTGGTTAAGGGGTTGGGGAGGATGTATGGATGAGAAATATGAACTCATTCAGATATCCTACAAATCCACACTGATCAAGAGAGATGGAATGGAACAGCATATAATGTACATATTCAAAAAAAGTCCATAGATTAGTAACATCACACCAGAAATACTTTTATCCTGGAACATTTTCACAACTGGTGCCTTTGGAGATCTATTGGATGTCAATTTGCATTATCCCAGAACCAGCATGTCTAGAGGGCAACTCGTTGGAGAGAGGTACCCTTGAGAGTGTCTTCTCCAAAGTCTTTACCTTCACAACAAGGTCCACGTAACCTTTGTCATCATCACTGCTGACAGGTGTATAAGGTCTGATCACCAAGTTCCCATCAATCCTTGCCGAGAGGTAAATGTGTTGTCCTGAAGGTCAGCCAAAACATTAAAGGATAAAACAAAACAACTTAGATTTTTAAAAGCTGAAGGAGCATGTTCTAGTTCCTGTTATTTATCTCAAAGTATATCATTCCAGTTACCCAAAAGACTTCAGGTAAGTTGAAGCATGTTTAGAATTAGATGAACTAATTAATTTCAATTGGTGCATCAACTTGAGAGATTTGTCATTAAGCCTCCTTAGCTTGCCTTGCCTCGTTTACTGTTTATTGAACTAGGGATTACTGACAGCACTAACATTTTGGCAGCAAAACCTGAAGTAGGTTTCCGAACTTGGTGACTTTCCAGAATTCCAGTTCCAAGCTATCTCTGTTGCTATTGGAAGTAAGTTTGATAGTTAACTGAGATGGAAGTAGAAATGTCTCCTTGTTAACTTCTTATACGAAATATTAAAATTATATATAATTTAAGGGAAGGGACCATCTTATGGAAAACTCAAACCTAGCCATTTCTAGGTTTTCCATTAAGATTATACAAAAAAACTTGTTCCATTAGCAAAGACATATACATTCTTAAGCTATGAAAATAACCACAACCAGATGCACCTTTTTTTAAAGGAAGAGATCATACAAATTTGCTTTATCCAAAAGTGAAATTAGAGATCTGGTGTTTGGCTTGGAGAGTGTTTTAAAAAATGTGGGTACTGTTTAACTGTGAAGGTAACACCACAAGAACCACTGCTGTGGATCTATTAACACATAGGCTGAAAGAAGATCCTAAGTTTTTCTATGAAACCATCACTTAAAGGAGAGTGTTAAGTTTGGGTTATGCAATATGGGCAATATCCTATCATGGATTTAATGCTTAGTTCCCAGACTCATAAAGATTTAGGAGATACAAACAGCCAACAGCAAACTTTTCCATAAATCTAAGTTTAAGATCATACGAAGAAAATAAATCAAATTCTAATTTTAAGATCACAGGAGGAAAATAAATCAAATTTTCATATATAAAGCAATAAGCATATAATAAAACTAGAATATTAAAAAGGGAGATGCATAACTAATTATCTTCTGACGTGGAAACCATCTATCAGAACGTAATTATATCCAGAGTTTCCTTGCAGCAATTATGGGAACAGCGTTTTGTTACCTTTTTTCAGAACTCTAAGGAATTAAGTTAATGGGGGGGGGTATGCATTTTCTACTGCAGTACAATTGGAGAGGTTTACAAGGAGGAATGATATTTATTCCGAGTGCCATGGACAGCTCAGCAGAACGTGGGACGTTGATTCAATGGCACTCTCCATCTCAAGAGAGATTCAGCGCTGGAAGGGAAGGTGAATTCCTTGAATTCCTCCCCTGATGGCAAATCATTGCAGCTTGCAAGAGGAAATGCTGTTCTGTGAAGAACAGAGAGAATGCTATTGAAAAAAGTCCTGTTTCAAAGACTGATGTAACATGGATGAAAAATTCTGCTCCTCCCCTTTTGTAAGTCTAGATCCCAGGATGAATTGCTGAATTTCTTCTAGTCACAGGAAAACAGGACCAAAAAAAAAAAGAAAGAAAGAAATCTCTGCTGTGAGGTATCCTGGGATCTGGGATATATTGGTTCTACATGGGAAACAATTCAGTTGCTGGAACTCTTGTACTCTTATTCCCCCCTTCTCAATAAAACTCGCTAAAGAAACACCGTGAGAACCATTCTTGGAAAAGAATCACTGTCAGTTTTTGACAGATGCCCAAAGCTGTTAGCAGGAGAGAACAGCTGTTAGCAAGCCACACCACTTTCTATACAGAATGCAAAACAGAGTTGGCCCGATTTGGGCGGGGAGGAGAGGGGAGGCGGCTGAAAATATTGTTAAATAAATGAAGCTAATCAAAGATTGAGAATCCAGCATCGAAAGATAATTGAACTGCTTGCACTAAATTCCTAGCAAATTTTACACATACTGCTATGTGTGTGTTTTTTTAAAGAGGTACGCATACACAATGCTTTTTAATTCCTCATATCATCGTGTCTGAACTAGTCTACTCCCATCCTTGCAAAGCTGAACACAGACCAACACCTGCTTCTCTGTGCTCGATGCCTCCGGCAGATGAGAGGAGCAGCTGGCTACAATTACTGATTCTACTCAGCAGCTAGAGGAACGAAGGAATGACAAACAAAAACACAGAAGCCATGGCTGCAAGCTCGCTTGATACCTATCCTGGTCCTGCTCACAGCCATCAGCTACAAATCGTAAACAATCACAGCGATGTTCTGTTTTTCCCTGGGGTGCCATAATGGGATTTGGGTGGCACCAAGAGAAGTAAATAACCAAATATTTTTTATGAACATCCAAACTGTATCAAGGTTTGGATTCCCTAAGGAAATTCATAGATCAGGATTGGGTTAGCAAGTTGTCTTCTACTCAGCAACACTGTTTTTGCTTTATTTCCTCAGGTGCGTTTTTCTTCTGGACTGGAACTTTAGACATCATGGATGAAGCCTCCTATTCATTTAGGGAGCAGATCCAGTTCTGTTTAAATTTAGACAGAATTTTTCCACTATCAGTACAGTCCTCCGTCTAGCTAACGGGCCTTTTAAAAAAAAAAAAACTAAATAAATCAAGCAAAAAATTCGCAAGAGAAAAAAAGACAGGCCTTTCTTCCCAAGTCCACAATTCAATCCAATTATTTCAATTTCCATTCCCTTCTCCTTTCAAAGTACCTTGAATGAGTGTATATATAGCATATTTTAATGTAAACAGCTTACCAACAGGAAGTCCCAAAACATGTTGTGGACTTGGCAGGGCAAAGCGAAATCTTCTGGTGTCGTGACTGATGTGCTGAAAAAGAGAAATGCTTCATAAAACTACGGCAGTGTTATACATGCTCTATCCAAGCCCACATGTTTATAATCAAGATATAAACAAATTTCAGAACACTGTTGAAGAAATAAACATACTTCCTTAACAAAACATCTAACCAAGACTGATGGTTTACCAGTCTGTTTTCATTCTTCAAAGAGCTTTCTACCAAGCACCCTCAGAAGCTTCCACAGGAGTTGCAAGTCCGAGAGGTAGTGACCTTGATAGGCTTCGTTTAGGGATGTCCCACGGGGTATACACGTGGGTCAAGGTAGTGGCTGTCACCATGCAATTGAAGCCCCACCCTTTCAGTCCATGCTTCAGGCATGCCACATACAGAAAAGGGGGGCAGGGGCTTGATTGTACAGCCATCTGCTAAATGCTTACTTTTTTGACCCTGTCCTCATGGACATTCCTGGCTGCAGTGCACACTTGACAAGTCAACATCAAGGTCTAAACAAAATTCACAAGTGACAGGATCCTTGGCTTCTGATAGGAGGCCAGTAACATCACACACATCATGACCACCTTTCTCTCCCTCTGGATGCTCATGGATGGCACATAGATCATATCAATAAATCCAGACCAAGAGCTAAAGTCACATATTCAGAAAATATAATGAGTGATGGCCATAAAGCAAACATTTCAGAATGCAAGGCAGAGAGCTGGCTATTCCAGTTATCCATATTTTTTATACTATCTGCACACAGGCTTCCATAAATTAGGAATGAGTCCAGCCACAGACTCACATCAATTAATTATAAAACACTTGCTGAGCAAAACAGACCAACCAGAACACCTTCTTCTCATTTCGCTTAAACCATGGAAGGAGTTTCCAAGGTTTATTCAGCCTTTTTGGAAAGAGTGACTAATCAGGAGGAATTACTATGAGGTCTGACCACGCAGTTTGAAATAATAAATATGGGTGTATTAGTTCTCCAGTGCTCTAGTTTCACATGCAAGACTTTCCACTTGATCTTCCAGTTATCAAGTTACACATGACACAAGCATTGCACATCAGCATCAGGATCACCCCAAATCGCTGATTTTCCAACATTGTAGAATTTAAACATAAAGGGTAGTTAGTTCAACATCCAGCTTTCCAACCTTTCTACATTACGAAAGGCCGCAGCACTAACCTATATTCTGCAATATTTCCCAGTGCACAGAATGCTTCAAAGGTATAGGTCTGGCTGATATAGATAAAACCACCATATATCAACAACTAAGAAATATGAAATATTTACTAGAGCATACTTTAATCTTGATTCCTCGACATACTGAAATCATTTTGAGTATTAGAGCATTTTAAAAATCTGTTGTAACAAAGGGGAGTGAGAGAGAAATAAGATGATGATATATATATTACCTCTTTGTCGATCAGCCTTAGTGCATATTTTACATCTGGATTTTCTAGCGTGATAGAAGGCTGAGATTTAGAGAAAAGTCGCTTGATCAAACCAATCACAAAGTATATTGGAGACAGGGCAAGATTTCCCAACTGTAATAGACAAAGAAAGAGGACATTAAATTTGGTATCATGACTCGGTGAACAGAAATAAGTCAGAAAATGGCTAAGAACAAAAATCCCCAAAATAGAAGTACCTTTTTAGTGTTATATACCAAGCATGAAAGACACTCATGTAATCACATATAAATATATTTGATATTATTAAAGATACTGAGTTCTTCCTTTTAAAATGACTAGTCAGGTGATATGTAACTTGCTGGCATTCGCTCATAAGGAGAGGAATGGGGTGGAGTAAGAAAAAATATATCTTTACACAACACTTTAAAGTTCCCAAGTATTTTGCATAGTTTATCCCACAATCTTTTCAATAACCCTGTTAGCTAGATCAGAATTACGCTCGACATACTGTAAGATGGAAACATGGAGATTCAGTCAAAGCTATATATTGAATGTTTAGCTGAATGGTGGATTTTCCTTCTAATTCTCAGAAAGGCTCAAATGATATACAGGTTGTCCCCAGTTTAAAAACGGGTTCCGTTCCCAAGGTCTGTCCTTAAGTTGAATTTGTATGTAAGCTGGAACAGTATTATTGTATAATACTGTATAACTAGTATTGTGTAATTAACTCAAACCATTGTGTATGTAACTCGAGTCATTGTGTATTAAACTCAAATTTTGCTACATCAGGCTCCGTTCTTAACTATGGGTCGTCCGTAAACTGGGCGTTCTTAACCTGCGCACTATCTGTATTCACTTCCCTGACATTTGCACGCATGCTTGTGTATTGATAAACGTGGCTAAGTAGATAAAAGCTCTGCATCTCTGAGCAGCAAAAAAATTCTGTAAGCAATACTATCTGGGAATACTTTTCTTTAGATAAGATCCTGCATGGGAAAGATGGGCTAAGGGTTCCCCCCCCAAAAACTATGCTTTACAAATTTCCGTTTACAATATAAGGAGACAATAAGTACATCCAAGGAAGCTTCAGCCAAATGCTTCTTTTCACAAGTAAGTGAAAAGTTCCTTCTTCCGAGGGTTATATTTCAACACTGCAACATCTCCCACGCCAAATAATAGAGATTATCCTTTGGAGTGGGAGCAGATAAGATTTGGCCTTGAGGATCTTGCTACTAATCCTTCCAACTGCTTTAATCCTCCTCTTCAAGGTAATTTCTTCATCAAATGTGCTTGCATGACTGAAACATACTTGAATTTTCAACATCGGGTTATTTATGCAACTGAATCTACATGGTTGACCTTGGTGATGTAGCACTGATAAAACAGCAAGTGGAAAAAACAAAACAACAAAACCAAACCAAACCTGTCACTATCCAGGTCAAGACGAAAGGAAGGCAATGTGAAAACGCCTGCCATGCAGGATTGAGAAAACATGTCCATCAATGGTTTTAACTGGTTAGGAAGTGTTCTAGACCAGAGATTTTCAAACTTTTTCAGGCCATAGAACATTGTAATTAAAAAAAAAAATCCCCAGAATCTGTGATCAAGAGGACAAACTCTAGTTACAGAAAATTGGTTGGGTTTGAGTGGGTGCTGGGGAACTAATTGAAGGAAAAAAAAAACTACTCTAGATATGAGCATGTGGCCAATGCTTCTTTCACGTATTTTTCTTCTCTAGTCTTCCTTCCGCCGCCAGTTTCACGCAAGCAAGTGAGCCTTGCTCTATTTTTTATATACTTGGTCATCTCATAACCCACCCCACCCCATCCAAGAGTTGCTGACATTCTAGCTGTCTCATTGTGTGGACCCAATTTAGTGACAAGTGACTGTACCTATTGAGGTTAGATTATCACAACTGTGGGGACAAAGATTAAAACATGAATCCAAAGCCAACTCACTCTAAGACAGCTGGCCTAATCAGTTTATTTTAGAATGGTTATGCTGCACACACAACTATGTTCCCATTATGCCACTTCATGATTACATTAGCATTCAATGCCAGGCTTTAGACCCTAGCAAATTTGGTAATTTTTTATACACTTCTAGCCAGGGGTTCTGGCTTTGGAGAAATCCTCTTTTTACAAACATCTCATAAATGTTTCCAAATGTATGGAAAGATAAAACCCACCCTGGAATTTAAGACTACATCTTGTTCAAATATATTTTAAACTGCAACCAAACTACCCTATCATTGCTACACTTCAAATGTTTTGGAACAGCTCAGTGTCACCATCACGTTCTCAACAGCCAATGCAAAATATACAACTCCCCATTTGTTTTTCAGTTCTGCACCAGGAATTCCTAACTGAATTGCATCACTTGGGAGCAATTCTGCTGAACCGGGCAACCAGATGCATTCAAGAAGTTCACCAACATGGAGTGCACAGCAATTCCTGTCTCCCACTAGCATCTATTGGTTTAAGGCAGGCTGCCTGGGGTTCAGGAGATGGTCGGGTTGCGCAAAGCTTTCATCTGGAGATTCAATTTGAAGGCAATTTCTTCAAACTGCAAAATCAATTGAATTACAAAACCAATTTCCAAACTGCAAGTTTCAAATTGCAAAGTCAATTCCAATGCTTCTGAACTGACCTGAGAGTTTAGAAGAGCTTTTGTCGCTGTGCATGAATGTCTTTTGGTAAAATCACATCCATTTTCCAAACTGGATTGAAAATGAATCATGGCAAACAGCCATCAAGAGCAGTAGCTAGTGACAGTCTGATCCTGCACAAACTTCTCCAGTTTCCCATACTGCCAATCCAGTGTCAGCGAAAACTTTAAAATTTTGCACATAAATGCTATAATCTACTTACTTGGGAATAATCTTCATTTCAATAAGCTTGAAATGAAATTGAATAAGGGTGTACAATTTTTCTCTGCAAACTGTTGCTCACACATCTCTACTAACTACTTGGAAAAAATGAATATTCATATTATATTTCTTATAAAAACGTAAGATGCACATTTTGTGCATATATAAAACTTTTCAAGGAGTTTAAAATACTTTTTCTTATTAAAAAAAAAAAACCTGAAGGTTTTTTGGCCAGATAGAGCTTAATAGTGCTGAAATAATCAAGCATATTCATGTACTTCCCCTAGATGCTATATTAGATATTCCCAGAGCTGGCACTAATGTTCATTAATTACTAATGTAGGAACCTTTCTGTTCTGAAGCACAACAGATAAAATCTCATATTCTCATGGTCCTGCTGGGCAAAAAAAAAGAGAAGCAGCTGAAAACCCCATGTCTAGCTTCTGACCAGAAAATATTATAGACGTAAACAACCACAAAATACTAATGAACCATTCCAATATCCTAGTTGTGTCTATGGCCCATTAGGGCTTGGTTATCCTTGCACTAGGAGACAAAAAATTAATCTATATCTGTTCTTCCTACAGCTTGGGTGACAGACCTACTATCCCTCTCGGGAACTTGAACTCAGGTCTAGTCAAAGTCTTCACATCATTGGAAGAGTGATTACCACTTCCCGCTGGATGATTTTAAGATATAACTCAGAAGACAGACAACCTTTTCATAACTTCTTGCTGATGTTGGATGTTACCATCTTGCTGTGAGACTCAAATCAAAGACAAAGAATGGAATAAGAGAAGCAGGCAAGGTTGGGAGATTAAGTTTGTAATGTATTAGAAACAGTAATGCAACAATGCAAAATCATAAGGGTGAACATAAGGTTATTCTAGAAATATGTAAAGCCTTCCCCAAGAATGAGTGTAACAATGAAGGTCCCAGTCTACAAGCAGGAGACCAGTGTTCAAGTTTATCCTCAGCCATGGAAGGTCACTGGGTGACTATGGGCCAGTCCTTCTCTCTTAGTCCAAGAGTCAGTGTGGTGTAGTGATGCAGGTGCTGGATTAGAATTGGGGAATTCAAGAGCCAGATTCAACCCCATCCTCAGGCACTGAAGGTCACTGGTTGACTCTGGGCAGGCCCCTTTCCATCCATCCAATCTAAGTGTTACTGAGGAGATTAAATGAAAGGAGATTCCCATGGAAATAGCTTTGAGCTCCTGTTGGAATACAATGTATAACTAGTAAAATAAAATGAGTAATAAGCTCTGGGGGATTCAGTTTCCTTTTAAAAAATACCAAAGAGAAGCATTCTATTCTCAGTGCTGACAATATACTAACCAAGATGTTAGATTAGCATTCTTGGCTCCCCATTTAAGGGTGTGGCAAAGATGGAACAGTGTAGAGCCAACTCAGATTTAGTGCTCTGACACAGACTTGCTGCCTGCCAAAAGAAGGAAGACAGGAAGAAAATACCAATGCCTCCTTTAAAAAAAAAAAGGGGGGGGGAGCTTGCAATTTCAATATGCTACATTTTATGACCACCCTAACTTTACGCACCTCTACTGAGTCTGCCACCAAATTTGCTTTCCAACTGCCAACACGTTTTTGTTGCAAAGACTGGGGAATGCACAATTGCTTTGTTCCTATATTTAGCTTTGCCGACCCAAATACCACCAGCTACAAAATAGAATATTCTCCTGGATTACATTTGTACTATTCCACAGGACGGCTTCCATCCAGAGCCAATGGCATAAAAAGGAGCAAACAAGGAAGATTAAAATCCTCACAGTCAAAGCCAGAATTAATTTAGCAGCAGAGTAAGCAACTGTGTCTAGATGGAAAGAAAAATAATACCAGATTCAAAACAGACCAGGATGTGAACTTTAACTCTTTTTTTCCCAGTTGCAAATCCAGTGAAAATCCCCGCTCTTCTGTTACTGTAAGAGAACCCTCTCAGTGGCATCAAAGGGCAGTCAAACTTCCACAAAACTTCAAAATATGGCTAATTGACTATCAGGCTAGTGAAGCTAACTAAGGAGAAATACCAAGTTAGGTCTTTCTCTCTCACCTTTTCCTTCCCCAGCTACTATTCAGTCCAACAAGTAGAGAGGAACAAGTGAAAGGAAGTAAGAGAGGATGAGAACCATAACATTACTGCAATAGGCACTTCCTGGTTCACCCTGAGATTCTACTTTGAAAAACATTAGCCAGAGCTGCCCAGAGAAATGATGGGAGAAATCCAAAATTATCACTGAGATGGAGGGCAGAGGAGACAAAGCCAAGAGAAAAAACAAAAGATTTCAAGGGGAGGAGAGGAGAAAGACTCAACAACAGGGCCAGAAAGAAGAGACGGGAAGAAAAGTAGATCTCTCTGAAGGAAAACAAGACCATCTGCTTTTGCTTGTAAAGGGAGAAAAATGTTAATACAATCTTAAATGCACAGGGTGAAGTACAAACCAAGGCCCTAATTCAGATGCTCAGTTTAACCAAATATGAACACATTTATTTTACTGGTCAAATCTAAAGAGCTTCCCCAAGTACATAAGATGTTGGCCTTCAAGTGTTTCTGCTGTGTTATCATTCCAACAATTAGGAAAACAGATTTAGCGAGAGGAAGAAGTTTGTCCTAATACTGTGGGTTGTGTCAATTCATCAGACAGCTTGAACACTGTTTTTTGGAAACACAGAATAGACATTTAATAAATATATTTTCTTTGCATCCTTCACATTACAGTCAATTTCATGAACACCCTTCTCCAATTCAGATTTCGAATGTAATCGAGAGAACTATAGCTCAGACTCACTTTCAAAAAACAAAGTCTGCTGTGCTCCAAGCAATCTGGATAATTGTTGTAATTTATATCATTGATGTCAATTTCCATAATTACACAATTGATGCCATTTGCCTCAATTTATCATTTTTGTAATGACTTATGCAGATGACCTAAACTGACACAAAGAATGTGATTATGCAGATATCTGATATTGACACAAATGACATAAATAACATCAAGTAAGTAAATTTGAATTTAACAGACATGACACTTTAATAGACAACTGGTCTGTAAAATTGAGGTTTTACTGTATTTAAGGGGGGGGGACTGGAATAAAAAAAATAAGGCAGTTAAATTTAAATTAAAATGTTAAATGTTAAATTTTAAAATTATTTTTAAATGAGTCTTTGTGTTTTCTTTTTCTCTAACAGGATCATAGCTTCAGAAACATCCCATAAGAACCATGCTGACAGTGCTTGATGGCCAACAACTGATTGTGTGAATTGACTCTAACAACATTATGGTGTTGGAGGCAACACAACTGTTTGCCTACGGGGTTAGAGCTCTGATCAGGGACTTTTGGCATTACTGGATGATGATATAAAGATACAAGACCCTGAAATGAGCTTAAGTAATTATTAATCTTATTAATAATTCATGAGCAAGTCAATTTGGATGTTATGGTAGGTAACAGAATAGGGGACAATTAAATTATCTTGGTTAGTAAGATGAGAATTGGTGGACAGTTTTAGATTGAGGAGAACCTCAACAAATATTCTCACTAAAAGCCTTACCAAAGGAACAAATGATCTAGTGAAATTCACTGAACATTCTTGGAATTTCTGACCGCACAGTTAGATGGAAATTTACTAGGGAAGCTGGAATTTCAAATACCTCATATGGTCACATGGCCATCTATCAGGGCTGTGAAAAATGCACAAGAAATGCTTTATAAATTACAAGTGGAACATCTCTCCTGAAGCAGCTGTGACCTTTGGAAGGTATGTAGGGACAGACACACTTTTGCCGGGGCCTCAAGCCAAGTGAAGTGTTTAGGTCACAAAGTGAACTGATTTAAAGATGTCACCAAATGAGAGAAATTAAACCCCGCCTCTTGATGCCAACCAACCCAGATGGACACTGGATCCACATCTTCAGCCAAATCCAGCTTCTACAGTGTGACTGTTGTGGCTGCCTTATTTTTTAGAGGCTATCTTGCTTCTGATATCTTACTGCACAATGGGGGAAAGTGCAAATATTTAAGCTTGTTGCTCCTTCTAAGAAAAATAAGTGCTTTTTTTACAACTTGAAGATGATTTCTTTCAGTAGTTGTTTGGAAGGCTTGGAAGCTAAGCAGGTTTAGATCCAGTTAATTTTGAATGGGAGACCTTCAGGGAATAACAGGGCTGTCGGCTAGATTGGAAAATTAAAAAACACATCTTGGAAAGAGGCAATGGAAAACTGCTTTAGGAAACCAAGTCTCCTGGACCCTAGCTTGTCTTGAACATTTCATTTTTATTTTAAGTGGCTCTCACCAGCTTGTTTTAACTTCTTTAATTTCAGTTTAAGTTAAAAAGCCAGTGATCAACCAATTGAAAATCCCAATACGTGTATTTAAAGTAGGACAAGCTTTTCTGAACACTGAAAGATTCCAGCCAAACAATGCTCAAATAGGCTTCTGACCAAATGAAATTGGCCGTCCTTAGCGAGCCAAAATGCCCTTTCCTTCGGCTCTGCGGTCCCAGGGCAAATGACACCCAGAGCCAGAGGTTATTTCTGGCCTGGCGTGGGAGAAAAAAATTCCCTGCACTTGATTGCCCAAATGCTCAGCAGAATATTCATGCCAGGAGCTGTGGGTGGAACCATGTCCTTCCTCCCCAGGCTTGGATGGAAGGAAGCGGATGGCGGCTCCCTTCGGTGCTGTGGTTCCAGAGCAAGGCTTGAGAGGATCGCAGTAGGAACACGCACCCTCATGTTAATCAGCATGTACCCCTTTGAACGCACTACCTTGACCTTAGCCCAGTGTTGTCCAAACGTGGCCACTTTAAGATGAGTGGACTTCAACTCCCAGAATTCCCCAGCCAGCCATGCTG